TCACACAGACAAGACAGGGGAAGACAAAGGAAATTAAAAATCTAGTACTGGGGATAGCTATCAGAAAGTACAGTTTCCTAAAAACCATTTGCATTGTACACCGATAGAGAGACCAGTGGAACAGACCCAAGAAACAGACCCAAATACAATCAGAAATGTACCACGAAACACTTGTATAGCACCTCGAATCCATAGTGGACGATGATCTATTCAATGAGTGCCAGCAACTTGTTTTGTGGTACCAATAAACTAATTCTAAGGTTTATATAGAAAGGTAAAAGACCCAGAATAGCCAACACAATATTGAAGGAGGACTTACATTACCTATCTTTAATACTTACTATAAGGACATAGTAAGCAAGACAGTGTAGTATTGGTGAAAAAACAGACAAATAGATCAATGCAACAAAATATAGAGCCCAGAAATCGTCCCACATAAATATAACCAACCAGTCTTTACAAAGGAGCAACGGCAAACAATGGAGAAAATACAGTCTTTTCAACAAATGGTGCTGGAACAACTTAAAAAACTTAAAAAATTGTCCACAATTAAAAAAACATGAATCTAGACACATCTCTTATACCCATTACAAAAATTAACACAAAATGGATCACAGACCTAAATGTAAAGTGCACAACTATAAAAATCACAGATGATAACATAGGAGAAAATCTAAGTGACCTTGGATTTGGTGATAACTTTTAGAAACAACACCAAAGGCAAGATCCATGAAAGAAATAATTGATAAGCTGGACTTAAAATTCGTATTTTTTGCTCTGCAAGAGATGCTGTCAAGAGAAATGAGGAAATAAGCCATAGACTTGGAGAAAATATTTGCAAAAGACATGTCTGATAAAGGACTGTTATCCAAAATATACAAAGAACTCTTAAAATTCAACAATTTAATAAAATGAATTGTCTTTTTTTATTGGGCAAGAAACCTTAACAGACACCTCACCAAAGAAGACATACAGATAGTAAATAAACATATGAAAAGATGCTTTACACCATATGTCAGAGAAATGCAAATTAAAGGAACAAACCCATTAGAATGGCCAAAATCCAGAACACGGACAACATTCAATGCTGGCAAGTACGTGGAGCAACAGAAAATCTCATTCTTTGTTAGTGGGAAAGCAAAACGGTATAGCTACTTTGAAGAACACATTGGTGGTTTCTTGAAAAACTAAATACACTCCTACCATATAATCAAGCAATCACACTCCTTGGTATTTACCCAAAGGATTTGAAAACTTATGTCCACACATATACCTGTACATGGATATTTATAAAATCATTGTTCATAATTGACAAAACTTGGAAGCAACCAAGATGTCCTTCAGTAGGTGAATGTATAAATAAATGGTAGCACATCCAGACAATGGACTGTTAGTCAGCAATAAAATGAAACGAGCTATTAAGCCATGAAAAGGCATGGAGGAAATTTAAATGCATATAATTAAGTGAAAGAAGCCAATTTTAAAAGAGTATATACTGGATGAATCCAATTATATAACATCCTGGAAAAGACAAAACTATGAAGACAGTAAAGACAGCAGTGACTGCCAAGGTTTAGCAGGGGAGGAAGGATGAATAGGTAGATCAGAAAGAATTCTTAGGATGGTGAAACTACTCTAGTGATACTATAATGGTAAATATGTATCATTATAAATTTGTCCAAACTCATAGAAAGTACAACATCAAGAGCGAACCCTACTAGAAACTAGGGACTCTGGGTGATGATGATGTGTCCATGTAGGTTCATTCATTTTAACAAATGTACCACTCTGACGGGGTATGTTGATAATGGGGTAGGCTATGCATGTGTGGGGGCAGAAAATATATGGGAAACCTTTACCATACACTCAAGCTCAATTTTTTTGTGAACCTAAAACTATTCTACAATATAGATTCTATTAAAATATTTAAAAGTCATAAATTTCACTGCATAAAATAAATTTTGCATGGCAAAAATACCATAAGAAAAACAGAAAAAGACTAACCAAGAAAAAAAATACTTGCAACTCATATCCCAAAGAGTCAATCTTTAAGTATATAGAGCACTCCTAAAAATTGTAAGAATATGACAAAAAAATGGACAAAATGAATATGTTCAGAGAATGCCTATTAAGCTATAAAAACATGCCAATATTATTAAGAAAAGTGGAAATTAAAACTATATGAGAGGCCATTTTAAAAGCACCTATCCTTGGAATCAGCAATACCACTTTCGAATTGGACTGATACTATAGATATACCTGCTCAAGTGTGAAATGACATATGTACAAGGTTATTTACCACAAAATAGTTGTTAATAGCAAAAAAAGGGGGAAGGCAATCTAAATGTTCATAAATAGGAGATTAAATTATGCTACATCTAAACAGTGGTGTAT